CTGCGAGCGTCGGGAAGCTGGGCGCCCTCTCCGCGCGACCCGGGCGCCGGCAGAAGGCGGGGCGAGGCAGCAGCGCCGCGATGATTGGCTGAGGGCCGTGACGGCACGCGCACTCAGCCCCTCCCCGGAGTGGACCCATTCGGGCTCGCCCCTCCCGATTTGTGTACGTCCTGATTCCCCGCCCACTTCCCCGCCCACTCGGCTAGGCCCGCCTCCTGGCACCTCCCCCCAGTCGAGTAGTTCTGCGCTGTGAAGCTGTTCGGCGAGAATGGGCAAGCTGCAGCCCCGGAGCCAAACCAAACCAGCCCTTGATCTGTTTGTTTTTTGAGACAAGGTCTTGCCCTGGGGCCCAGGCTGGAGTGCAGCGACGCAGTCATAACTCACGGCAGCCTCGAACTACTGAGCTCAAGCGATCCTCCCGCCTTGGCCTCCCAGAGTGATGGGATTTATAGGCATGAATGAGCCACCGCGCCCGGTCATGAAGTTCTTTACATCATTCTGTAACCCACCTCCCTGATATTGGCCTTATTCCTGCCTTCAAGGGTCATAGATAACCAACCCCTCTTTCCACGTCCCAGGCCTCCAGCTCCTTCCCCATCTCTCAGAGTCTAAGATTGGAGTCTTAGAGATTTGGCTTCTTCATCTCTCGGGTCACCAACCAGAGCTCAGGAAGCAGGCCCGATAGGTTATACATTCTCTTATATTTGATTTGTGACTGTGATCAAAACTGTTTGGGTGTCTGCCTAGCCTCTACCCTTCTCTTTATGTGAGAACATCTGACACCTCGATTGCAACCTTGTGCGAGAGGCTAAGGTGGGCTGGTGGAGGCCGAGGCAGGAGGATTGCGTGAGGCCAGGTGTTCAAGATCAAACTTGGAGAGATCCTATCCCTACCCAAAAAAAAAAAATGACTAAAACAGAGGACCTACTAGGTTACACCCATATTACTGATCCACAGAAACTGTGAGATAATGAATGCTTTAAGTCTCTAAATTTTAGGGATAATTTGTTACACAACCACAGATAACTAGCACATTGTCAAAACAAACTAGGCTTTAATTAGTTTTTCCAGAAGACTGTTTCCTTCTTTGTGCTGGTTGGAGGCCTCTGGCTTTTCTAGATTTCTACTATGCATTCCACAGACTATAGGAACCATTTTTCTTCTGTAGATAGGATCTTTTATATTTATTTATTTATTTATTTATTTATTTATTTATTTATTTTTTGAGTTGGAGTC